AATCATATAGAATCAATTTTCAATAACAAGGCGCTTCAAAATGTTATCTTAAAAGTTTAACACTGAGTGACTAGAGGCTTTTCACACAGGTTCAGAGGAGTGAAATGGCCTTTTCAAGCTAATTCCCGTATCTCCTCTGTGTCATACGAATTCCTTCTCAATATGATTTCAATAATAGGATCTGTACCATGTTACGATAAAACTAATTGTCTAAAAATTTATAGATTGAAAGTAAATGACTTCTATGCTCAAGTAGCCTGTTTGCTAATTTATTTTTCGCTTTCACCCGAATTTTTGTTGAGTTTCTATGACATAATCATCTTCAGATGGCCATCGATCTTCTATGCCCATGGTGCCGTTTCCCTATTTCTCTTCATCACTTATGGTCTCTTCTACCGAAACTCTCCCGGAAAGCATCCTTTCGTTGGAAACGTTGAGCTGCGCAAGATTAGCATTGGCAAAGTCGGCAACGTTGAGTAAGTTAAGCTAGATATTATCTATATTCTACAGCTGAATTGCGAAAATCCAAATTTTGTGCGTTTCGTATTGTGTGATGAAAAGGCCACTAAGTAAGGCCAAGCGGAAGCGCAATACCGAAAAAACTAGACAGCGTTATTACAACGCTATTCGAGAAGAAAAGAAATGGCAAACAAAGACGCAATTATTTATAGCTCTCGTGAAATGTGCATAGATTTACGATTTGCGACATGAACTCAAATATGTACCAATCTCTGCGGCATTCTCAATATGACTGAACTATCGAGAGATATGTTAGTGATACGGATTCGGGTTACAGTAATCCGCGCGCCATAATCCGCTCTGAATACTTTGCTTGCCATTGTTACCCAGCTGATGAGAACAGAATCGTAGAATCTTTGGTTTTTTGTCGTCAGCCAAACTTTGAGTAAATTACGATAGGATTTTGGGGACTTCTTAGACTCTATGAACTCGTAAAGGGGCGGAAGTCCCATGATTCTATGAATCTAGGTAGAATCTGTTTACTCAAATTGGAGCTCTAAGATTTCGGCATGTCTAGAAAATGTCGAGTCCCAAAATCAACAATGCGGAAGTGACTGTTTGCTCAAATAGACACATGGACTGGTAGCAATTGAATCAATTGTCCTCCAACTTATA